CCATGTCACACAGGGTGGACAGAGTAAAGCCGTGGTGGTTTTTAGTGAAAGCACTGCTCTGTCCTGCTTTGCTTTGTTTCAGCTCCTCTCCAGTGAGCTGACCTTGTCTCTGAAGGCTCTTAGTTCACTAAGGGCTTTTTTTACACATTGATTTTGTCACCTTTTCTGGAAATGAATTTTTTCAATCTATATTTTATTTGCAAGTACTTTAGTTAAGAATCATCCCAGACTTCGATTTATTCCTTTATACACTTATTAATTGTTTTCTGCACTCCTCTGCTTTTCTCCACTGTCTGCATTCCTTTACCTTTTTTTAGAGCTTTTGTTAATTCTTCCAGCTTTTGGTTGAAGCATAAGAATCTACTTGAGTAAGACCTCATTTTGCTCCCATATTTCAACATCCTTTTCTTTTCTTTTTTGACTGGAACTACATTTCTTATATTACAGTCTTTGTTCCGAAAGCTTGTGCATGACTTCCTTTTATTTGTCATTTAATTAAGATGGAAGGAAAAATTCCACTTTAAGAGATAGACCGTATGACTACTTTTAGTAGTTTCTATTGAGAAGAATGTTTGCATTATTGTTTCTAGAACTTTCAAAATACTTAGTTCTTTGAATAGCATAGGTAATTCGGATTTAGGAGGCTTCCTCCCCCAACCCCCAGAATGGCAATTTGGGGCTATATGGAAGGATTTATAAAGATAAGAGGGAAGGGAACATTTGGGGTACCATTTTACTTTGTTTTTCAGGTTCTGAGAAAGACTGTTTGGAGTGAAGTATTGAAATGACTCAAAGATTATTTTGACTGAATCAAGAATATATACTCTCTAAATTACAAATCATCATCATCATCACCACCACCACAAAACAGAAAATACATTACTTTTCCTCCTAAAATATTTAAAGAGAAAAGCAAGCCATAGCAGAAAAATGGCCTTAGAAGAACATGGCAATTTACATCTGCTACCGAGAAAAACACACATGAGATTATGTCCAATAGGTGCCTTCAGGTATCCCAAAAGCTTGCCCCCTTTCCTGAAAAGTTTTCCCTTGCCCTGATATTCTACCTCTTTCTAAATATGGCACAGCCCTGAAGCAATAAACGTATTCTTCACCCAACAATGGCAGTAACAACAAAGACAATTGCATAAAAGATCTTTAAAAATTTTATTTGTTTTGTTTTGTTTGTTTTATTAACAACTTCAAGAAGGTACGCGGCCCCCAGAGAAGCTGACCAAAGACTTGGTCCTCTAGCTATATGGTGTTACTTGAAGTTGCTTCTCAGGGCAACACAGACAACTTAAATGTGTATACTTAGGGATGAAAGACACTCCTTTCTGACTTTAAAGAAAATATGCAGGGATTTGGGAGAAAGCAAATGAGGCTTTTCAAGGTGCCACCAGCCTTTCTCAGTCAAACATCCCAAACGAGAAGACATGGAGGCCAGCAAGGGCAGGTGCAGGAAAGGCAATGATAAGGAGGGCTGGCAAAAGTAAACCCTCAGTGAATTCAGCCCCAAGAAAGTGGATTTCCTACAGTATAAGGAAAGACTTGTTTAGGCTTAGTTTTAATAAATGATAAAGAGACACAAATTAAACGAGTGGCCATCTTACCATTGATGATTCCTTAAGAGTCTTTAGAGTAATTCAATCTAAACTTGGAGGCCCTGTGCTGTAGGGCAGACAGGAAATCCACCTCGGGTAAGTGTGAAGTATCTTTTACACACTCGCTGAGGGCTCTGGCAGGGACCAGGCATCTTAAGAATCACCAGGATCTCTGGAGGCCCTTGCCATCATTACTCCACATGAGTAAGTCCCAAACTGCGTTTCTAGAAAAGAGGGGATGTTCAGCAAAGATGCAGCCTCCCCGAGGCATACATAGTGAGGGTACTGCCAAGAAGTAGGATGACATCCTTGCTGCTTCTGGGAGAACAGATCTCTTTAGTCTGGAAAATACAAGTTACCTCAAATTCTCCTCGTGGGTTTATTTGGAACTAAAGCTTGGAAGTCCAATCCCCAAGTCTTTCCTGAGGTAAAGACATGTAAGCCAGACAAAATGGGAAAGGGAAAGGGAAAGGGAAAAATATGGAGAGAGAACATAAATCGACATTTCTCAAAAGTGTCTCTCACCAAATTCCTTTCATCTTAGTGTCTATTTTGGAGTTGAGGAAACTGGGACAGGGGCATAATGACTGAGAGCATACAACCAGTTACTGACAGAGCTGGCCTTCTGCTATATCCTGTGCTTCTTTGTTTTTCTAATTTCCAACCTCTGTTCTATTTGAAATTGCTCTTGTTAGTTGGCACTTGTGTTTCTGCACCTAGAGTTTTAGACATATTTGGAAACTTCTTTTAAACATGTTGATCCACTCAGGGCTAAATTATTTGTGACAGCAAGAATAACTCCACCTTGGGGCATATCCAGCAGGATGAAGGATTCAGGGATAAATCATGTAGTGTTCCATTCTTCCTGGCTCTTGATGTTTGCACACAGGAGAAATCAGCTTCCCAGGAGCACAAAGGCCTCAAAAGGCCATCCTAACAGTGTCTGTGGAGGGAGGAAGTCAAAGTCCACAGACACCCTTAGGGTAACTTTGGGGAACCCGATCCCTTTCATGGCAATGATGTATGTGGAGCAGGTGATTTGGGAGGGACAGGTTAATGAGTTATTTGTATGTAGTTAAGTCTTGGGTCCTTAGCATCAGCTGGCCAGGCCATGTCCTCCCACCTCCTCTGAGAGTCACTGTTCAGCTGCATCCAGGCAAGGAGGGGAAGAGAGATTTTGAGAGTAATCGTGACTGTATCAGTGCACAAATGACATGTTCCAGTGGGCGGTGCAGGAGTGTGCAGGATTGTCCAGCTATGTCATATGATACAAGCATGGTCTAATACTTCCTCATATTCTTTCTTCTAATAATGAATTGCAGAGAACGAGATGTACTGTTGTGCCTTATAATTCAGACAGACAATACAGGTGTTGGCTAACATGGTTTGACATGACCGGCTGCCTCTTTTTTTTTTAAGCCAGTCCGGCAGAAAAGCACTAGACCTATTGTGGGAGTTGTACTGGCCCTTCCCCTTCCAACGGTCCATTAATCAGCAGCAAGATAGCCAAGGGACCACGTTACTTCACTGCAGCACAAAAAGGTTGTGGTTGTGAATGGGCTGAGTGGGAGCAGAGTTGTATCATTCCAGTTCTGATTGATTAATGCTGAAGTCACTGCTAAATAATGATTACCAGCCCCAGTCTCCACAAATCATTCACTGGGTGAAGGAGGACTCAGTTAAACAAACTTGGGCCAGTCAACACAGATTCTTCTTGTGGCGGGGGTGGGGTGTTGAGGATGGAGGGGGCAGGAGTGTGGAGATGGGAAGGGGGAAGATAACTGGATCTGATTGAATACGCAAAAAGAACTGTAGCTGGGGTCCTCACGGTCCCTTGGGCACTTCCCTTCCTCATACTGTGGCCTTCTCCCGGCCTCTACACTGCAGTTCTCCACTGTCACATTAACGGAATGCTCCCATCGTGAGTCTGGTCCTCTGGCACACTTGGGCCCCTCCTTCCAGATTCCCACAACTAGCCAGATGGAGTTACTACCAACGCCAGTGACTTAGCCCTCCCCTCTCTAAGGCTTTCCCACCCAAATCCCCCAACTACCCCTAATTCCCCCCATTACTTGCTTCCGGCAAAGTATGTTCCATGGGGCCCCTCTCCTCCTTTTGTCCCCGTATCTCCTTTTCACGGCCTGCTGCCCGACTATGCTCGTGCGCGGAAAGATAACACTCTCCTACTTAGGTTAGATGATCTTTTCAAAAATGTTTGGTGTATTTCCACTAATCCTGGACATAGAGGAGGTAGGAGATTAGAGTCACAAGAATGTTTTGGATAATATGAAGTTTAAATCTTGCTTTTCTGTGTGTGGTTCTTTGAGACATATCCAGGCAACTAATGGGGAGACAAAAGTTTACGTTTTGCGTGAGCTCTGGTTGCTTTGGTGTCAGCAACCTCTAACGCTGCATGTTGCCATCCACTTGGTAGAAGGTACTTCCTGAAGATGCACTTTCGTGAAGTCAGAACCAGCACAGACTGAGCCAAATCCTGATTAAAATTCTTGCTGGCTGCTCCTTATGCCGGCAGAGTCCAGTGTCTCCACTTGTTGGAAATATAGCTGCCTGTCAATGTAAGACAACGCCAGTGCCTCTTCGATATTACAAACTCACAGTGTTCCTCTTCAAGAATGCCAGCATTCATAATTTTTAAGCCTCAAACTTTCAAGAAATGGAAGCAATTTAATTTCTCTGTGTTTTAAAGTAGAAATGGTAATGTTACCTAGCTAGAAATTTCCGTAAAGTATGGATTGGCAATAATAACATTATTTATGCTTTCAAAAATGGGTTCCTACTAAATTTATGCCTGTATCTCAGTCACAAGCTATGCTTCCAGTACATTCTTTAACTTCAACCTACTTTTTTTTCTTAGCCCAGAAACTCTGATTGATTGCTCTGCTGCAGAAAATCACAGAAGTTTGAACTGAAATGAAATGTTTCAAAACTCAGGTAGACTTAAATGACAATGTATTACTGTGAAGAAAACACTCTCAGTTGTAACATCTCTTAAGGGAAAGTTTTGAGATTTTCTAGATATGACAAAGATTTATGAGGTATGATTTCACAAGGAGAAAAAGCATTTTGGTAGGAACTCTTTTTTGTAAGTAAAATAGGAAATCACAAGAGTTAAATAAATAGATGACTTTCTGTGGAAATCATCTGTTAACTTAATTGAACAAATGAACTGCATTAAACTCTAGAAAACCAAACACACATTTGTTATTTAGTTTCTAGTAATTTTTAAAATTTTTCCTACAGAGTTGTTGTGGGATTTATTATTTTGAAAACATGCTATTTTAACAATGGTTTGTCAACAACTTGATCCTAGTAAAATGGTAGAAAGGGTGATTAGATACCAGATGGCTTGGGTTGCCTTCTCATGCTGCTACTCACCAGGTTTGTGACAATGGCCATTTCTCTTCAATACTTTGAACCTCCATCTTCTCATCTGTTCAACAAGAATAAGAAATACCTGAACCCCCTATCTCTTAACACTGTTGTGAGGATCAAACAAGGTCCTAGTTGTTAAACCATTTTGAAACTATAAAGTGCTATACAATATGAGGTATTCCACTCATTATCACCTCAGAATTCCTCTCAGATTATATTGCCTCAAACGCATTATTTAGGAAAAGTACAAACTTGAATGCCATATGGAGTCCTTGTTGACACTGCAGATGTTGGTTAATTTTAGATTCTAAAAGAACAAAAGAACAGAAGCACTACCAAGCAAATTAGCCTCTCTTTAGCTTTTTCTTCGAAATCTCCTATTATACAAACACCAAACTAAAAATGGCAGGCTAAATATTATAGAAAATTACATCATTTGAGGCATTGAAATTCTGTATATCCAAGCCCTTTTGCAGAACACAAATTTATTCCCTCCAAAGCACATTGCCAATGAATTTAATGTTATAAGATAAATTATGGTTATTTCTTCAAGGACTAAGTAAAAGAATTTTAATCTTTAACTTTAAATAACACAATGCCAGGGAAAATGTAAAAGTCTTAGAAGAGTCACAAAAAGGTATGAAATCCATGTTGGTGGTCATAGTCTCTCTCAAACTAACAGAAAACTAAATTAAGCTCAGCCAGCCTTGTGCTCTGATTTTGAAGACCATATTTACAAGTAGGGATTTCTCTGTAGAACAGGTGTGACAGACGTGCACATGACAACTGCTTTTACAGCCCCATTAGTTTGGGAAGACCTGTCCTGATGGGCCTCAAGTGTACCATCTGTAAGACATCTCTTTGCACCTTGTCAAATCCAACGTCCTCTTTACACATGCATAAGCAGGAGGTGTTTTCGTAAAGTATATGGATGGCATCTGTCATTCTTTTTGTTTGCACACAACCCACTAACAAAAAGTATTTTGGAACAAGCTGAGCATTTTGTGTCTTGAAATTCTATTTACTTATTTAATTTATATTTTTTACCTATAAATATATATGTAATGAAAGCAATGAAACAAAAAATGCTTCCTGTCAGAACATATCCATTAGATGACCTGAAGCAATTTAAAAATGGTCCTATGAATATTTTGAGCCTAGATTTTTTTTAAAAATTGAAGCATAGTTGGCACACAATGTTACATTAGTTTCAGGGGTGCAACACAGTGATTTAACAAGTCTATACATTACGTTTCACTCCCCACAAGTATAGCTACCATCTGTCACCATACAATGCTATTACAATACCATTGACAACATTCCCTAAGCTGAGCCTAGATCTTCAATACATTTTTCCAGAAAACTGTTAAGTTTTAGCACCTTAAGACACTGGCATAATGTCACACTAATTCAGAGACCATAAATATTTCACCTATAAAATATGTGTTCCTCTAAAGGAGGCAAAATTTTCAAAAAAATGTTCAACTTATATTTTAATAATTTGGTCAATACTATGTGATATGATATTTCAAAGTGTGTTCTGATGTGGACTGGAAATATTAAAAGCAAATCCAAGGAGTAGATTTTATAACACTGCTTATTATGGAGGCTGTCTAGGCTGATTATTTTAGTATTAAGTATACTAGTAATCGCCTCCCTGTCCTGCCCATATGCTACCTATTTTAGCACAGAAGTCCTAATAAGACAGGTGCAACTTGATTCCATGTTACATAGTTTTCTCAAACTGGAACAAATATTAACCCCCCCCCAAATATTTTTCCCTTGTGAAGAACTTTGGATTACTGCAGATGATTACAGACCTGAACAAGAAAGGGATTCAAACAACTTTCATTCACTGCTGAAACTGAACTGGAACTGACCCCCAAAATAAATTGGCTTAATTCCCTGTAAGAGCAATATGAATCAGGTTGCCATCTGTTCCCTTCCTTCTTTAACTTCACCAGTGGGCTGGGTTTAAGCAAAGAACTGGAGGAGTCCTTGGGGGAAAGGGAGGAGGACTCTGGCTTGGTATTTAGACGGGTATGCTGCAATGGTAGAGTCACTCCAAGTGCATGCACAGAAGAGAGGAGTCTGGGGATTAGCTGGGGAAATCATGTAATTTGTCAAACCATGGGAACAACATGAGTTGAATTTGCCTAATTTTGTTAGAAGACATTGCATCAACTAAAAGTCCTTTGCATGCCAAAGATGAAAAATGTAATCCAAACTAACTTAATTAAAAAGGTAAATTTATTGGTTCATGTAACTGAATAATTTAGAGGATCTGGTTCAGATGAAGTTTGATCTAGGGCTCAAACCGGGTGACCTAGGGCTTGATTTCTCTCTCTTCTTTTCTAAATTCAGCATCTTCAGTATTGGCTCCATTCTTTTTTTAAATTTTTTTAATTCATTTTATTTTATTATGTTAGTCACCATACATTACACCATTAGTTTTTGATGTAGTGTTTCATGATTCATTGTTTGCGTAAAACACCCAGTACTCCATGCGATACGTGCCCTCCTTAATACCCATCACTGGGTTAACCCATCCCTCCACCCCCCCTCCCCTCTAAAACCCTCCGCTTGTTTCTCAGAGTCCATAGTCTCTCATGGTTCATCTCCCCCTCCGATTGCCCCCCCTTCATCTTTCCCTTCCTACTATCTTGTTTTTTTTAACATATAATGTAGTATTTGTTTCAGAGGTACAGGTCTGTGATTTATCAGTCTTACACAATTCACAGTGCTCACCATAGCACATACTCTCCCCAGTGTCCATCACCCAGCTATTGGCTCCATTCTTAGGCAACGTCTTCACGTACCCAATATGGTTGCAAGCCACTCCACGGAGTACTTGCCTCTAGGTTCAAATTCAGAACCAACTTTCTAGTAGGTCTAGAATGGATTACTGTGGCTAGAGGAATAGGATATACTAGATGACCTAGACTAAGGCCATATGTTTCACCCCTGAAGCAGGAGGGTGTAGACATCAGTCTTTTCCCCAAGCCCAGGGACTGAGAGTAAGGGAGGACCATAGTCCCCAGAACAAAAGGAGAGTGTAGTCAGCAGAATGGATGTTCTCTACAGATACTCAGGGATTGGATGAACAAATAATTTCAGCAAGTATTATTTTTCATTCAATAAGGAATTCTGATATAAAAAGAACAAAAATATGAATAAGATTTACTATTATTTACAGATGATAAACTGTCTACCTGGAAAGTCCAGTGCCAACCAAAATCCAAAGAGAAGTTTTTAAAAACAATTGTTCTAACTCTCTTATGGAAGAATAAATAAAAAATAAAGGAGGAGGAGGAGGGGAAGGGGAAGGGGAAGGAGAGGGAGGAGGGAAAGGGGGGGAGGGAGGAATAATTCTGACTATATCCTAAAGAGAGAGTCCAAGTCTTGCCAGCTAAGGGGGGAAAAAAGTAATGGCCAGAGGAAGACTGTAGAGTCTTTATGTGAGACATTTTAAAAATGTAAGATAGGGGCGCCTGGGTGGCTCAGTCAGTTAAGTGTCTGCCTTCGGCTCTGGTCATAATCCCAGGGTCCTGGAATCGAGCCCCACATCAGGCTCCCATGCTCAGCAAGGAGCCTGCTTCTCCCTCTCCCTCTGCTGCTCCCCCTACTTGTGCTCTCCCTCTTCCTGTCAAATAAATAAATAAAAATGTTAAAAAAATTTTTTAAATAAAATTAAATTAAAAATATAAGATAATTTCAACTTGAGCTGGGACTAGACACTCTTTACAGAGATTAGACAGTTCTACAATTTGTAGTTTTTGTTATTCCCAAGGAAGAGAGCTTTAGAGCTAAGAAAAGCTTTCTGGATGGCTATTTGCTGTCTCTTGTCAACTTCATGGTTTATTTTTAATACTTTCTCTCATGCTATAATTATAAAAAAAATAAATAAAACAAAACAAAAACAAAACACCTCCACCTACATGGAGCCAAACTAAAGAGAAGTACTATGTGGAGAGATAATTTTATGGCTGGGGTACCTTCTTCAGATATATATATTTGTTTTCTTCAATGGCACTTTTCACTGCCACATCACTTGTGCATATTTCTGCATCAGTAAATGTTCTCCCGACATCTCATGTAAATTAAGTGCCCTAGGATTTTTCCATCCTGGTCTCATATACCTGGAATATAATAAATAAGAAAAAGTCTTTGGGGGAGAAATGGAACAAATAATCCTAAAATTTGTATGGAACCAGAAGAGACCCCGAATAGCCAGAGGAATACTGAAAAAGAAAAGCAAAGCTGGCGGCATCACAATTCCGGACTTCCAGCTCTATTACAAAGCTGTCATCATCAAGACAGTATGGTACTGGCACAAAAACAGACGCATAGATCAATGGAACAGAATCGAGAGCCCAGAAATGGACCCTCAACTCTATGGTCAACTTATCTTTGACAAAGCAGGAAAGAATGTCCAATGGCAAAAAGACAGTCTCTTCAACAAATGGTGTTGGGAAAATTGGACAGCCACATGCAGAAGAATGAAACTGGACCATTTCCTTACACCACACACAAGAATAGACTCCAAATGGTTGAAAGACCTAAACGTGAGACAGGAGTCCATCCAAATCCTAAAGGAGAACACAGGTAGCAACCTTTTCGACCTTAGCCGCAGCAACTTCTTCCTAGAAACATCGCCAAAGGCACGGGAAGCCCGGGCAAAAATGAACTATTGGGATTTCATCAAGATAAAAAGCTTTTGCACAGCAAAAGAAACAGTCCACAAAACCAAAAGACAACCGACAGAATGGGAGAAAATATTTGCAAACGACATATCAGATAAAGGGCTAGTATCCAAAATCTATAAAGAACTTATCAAACTCAACACCCAAAGAACAAATAATCCAATCAAGAAATGGGCAGAAGACATGAACAGACATTTCTCCAAAGAAGACATCCAAATGGCCAACAGGCACATGAAAAAGTGCTCCACATCACTCGGCATCAGGGAAATCCAAATCAAAACCTCAATGAGATACCACCTCACACCAGTCAGAATGGCTAAAATTAACAAGTCAGGGAACGACAGATGTTGGCGGGGATGTGGAGAAAGGGGAACCCTCCTACACTGTTGGTGGGAGTGCAAGCTGGTGCA